AAATACAAGAGCAGATCTCAAACTTTAATCTAGTTATGATTATATTTGTCTTGCTTGCATATATTCACATATATATCATGAATATAAATGTATTTCGTTTAGGCTATAATCCAAATATTGCTCCAAAATATAGAAATTTCCCTTATGCTCAATGGTGCTCTAAATTTAATATATTTGTTGAATCTAGAAAAATTGACTTATGAGAAGTTATTGATTATGCTTACATTGTGCCCACATTGGAGAAATCCAAGTGGAGCGATCATGATAATAAAATGTTTACAATGAACAAGTTTTTGTTAGAATTTTTGCTTAATGTTTTTGACTCATCATTTTCTAACAAACTTGCTCATTTTGATAGTGCTTACAAACTTTGAAAATTCATTAAAGCATATCAAGGGGACTTGGAGGCAATCCGACAAGCTTTGGAGGATTCTTCTTCAAGTTCATGTGGATTATCATGCATACGGCCACAAGAGGATAACTCTTGTGTAGTAAGCGATTCCGATTCTGATAATGATTTATCTATTGATGAACTCGCTTGTGCATATGAAAGATTATCTCATGCCTACATTAAATTGCAAAATAATTTTATTGATTTAAAAAGCAAGCATGTTAATTTGAAATCCGATCATGAGTTGCTAGTATCCAAATTTGATGTCATTACAAAAGAAAAAACTATGCTTAAAGAAAACAATGACTTGTTAAATTTGGAAAATAAAAAATTAACCTCATCCATTTCTAGTTTAACTCATGCTAATGATGATGCTATGCTAGAAGTAGAATGTATTAGAAATGAATTGAGTCAAGTTGAACATCGCATATCTTGTTTAGATTCAACCTTGAAAACATGTATGGTTAACAATGATAAGCTTATGGACATGTGTGCTAAGTCTCATGCTACTACACCTAGACATATTACACATCATGCACACATGTATAGCAAGATTTACAAATGCTCTATTTGCGGCCGAAAAGACCATTTAGCTAAATTTTGTTATGATGCACACAAACCAAAAAATGCTAATGCTCATTGTGCATCTCATGTAGATTAATCATCATGTACACATACACATTCATATGCTCTTTCTCATAAAGTTCATCATAAGCATGCTAATGTGTATCATTGTGATCATTGTGGTCGTTTTGGTCACTTAGCCAAGTTTTGTTTTGATTTGCGAAAAGTTTCTAAATCGCAAAATATTTCAAGTAGACAAACATTGTTTCAAAATGTTTCTCATTTACAAAATAATCTTAAAAGACCATCTTTATTTGCAAATGTTCCTCGTGCACATCCACATGGTCAACATAACCAAATGCATCCTCTTCATTGCACTTATTGCAATCGAATGGGTCATTTGCATAATTATTGCTATGACCGGACCCGTGCACTAAATATGCCAAACCTCTTCATTGCACCTATTGCAATCGGAAAGGTCATGTGTACAATTTTTGTTTTGACCATGCTAGTGCACCACATATTCCCATGAGGGTTCATAACCCTAGGGTTTTGAGCTTGAATGATATGGGTCATATCCCTAACCAATCCAGTACCAAGAATGCTTGGATGCCAAAATCTTTTTAAAACCAATAACTTTATTATTTTTTATTTTTCATGTCTTGGTTTTGAAAAACGTGTTTTGAAAAAAAAAATTAATATGAAAACAATTTTTTCTTTGATCAATTCTTTTGTTTTCATGATTACTAGCTTTGATTTTTGTTGAGAGGTTCGTGTTTATGTAACCCCCCGGATTTATTGGGTGTTTATTTCCAAATCATGTTTACCAGATGCTAGAATGATTATATGGGTTGGAACAAGCTTAAGAGCTTGATATATTGTTGCCTCTCTTGAAATTCTTTTGTCAAAGATTTTGTTTTGATTTGTTGCTTTGAATTCATTATATTTCACTTATATGATGATATTTATATGTTTGTGCTCATGGATCATCTATTCGTGTCTTATAATGTATTCTATGAGTAGTTTGATCAAGTTATACAAAGAAAATTTTCTTTTTGATCAAACATTGTATTTGGACTCAAATCTTGATTTATGATTTCATTTGAGTGATTTGTTTTCATTTGAAAACTTTTTTTCATGGTTCTCATGTTTTCCTCATTCCTTTGTTTTCATAAATTTATTCATACATGGTTTTTATGTTTGAGTAATAAGACATTATTTCATAATGACATATCAATATATGTTCTCATTGTCTTGTTTGTATGTGAGTTATATTTAGCATATCTTTCATTTATGCTTACTCACATGTTTTTGCCTTAGCATTCATTTTATATATCCATTAAGGCATTTTGATAGGGGGAGAAATCTCTATACTTGTTTTATACTCACCCATGCTTATATGTAGGGGGAGATTTCTCTCTCTTCATTCTTGGTGTTTTTCCCTTTTTGATGTTGTCAAAGGGGAAGAAATATTGTGAGTATAGCTTTTCTTGTGAATATGCATGATAATTCTAATTTATATATTCATTTTCTTTCATGCATATATATCTCTTTGTATAAATTGTTTGTCATCATCAAAAAGGGGGAGATTGTTGGCCTTCTTGTTTTGATGATGTTTAACAAACAATTTACGACTAATATTATTTATCTAGTATTTGTGTTTATCTATTTATTGTAGACAAACAATATATTGAAGGTTGGATGGAATTGCGTCATAACGATCATATCCAATGGAGGTTGGTGGAATAGTGGTTGAAACCTATGCAATTCAAGTTGAAGATCTAAGTTCAAGCTTCATCCGCAAGTGTACCAAGTCGAGCTTCAATGAAGATCTATCAAGCTTGGGTAATTAGTTTAGGAGTTTATATTACGTGTGTTGGTACTTTAAGCTCAATATCACATACACACACATACATTGTGTTTTCTATGTATATATAGTTATATATATACATACATGTTTTGGTTTTCATGTTTACATAAATATGAATTTACATATTTTATATTTATTGTTTTGTTTTGGTTTTTGGCTTTCAAGTTTAAATATATATATACATGTTTGGTTTCATATGGTGAAGTTGTTTTGGTTTAGTTTTGTAGATATGAAACAAATATATATTCATATACAAATTCACTTGTTTCATATTCTATTGTATTTAAAAAATATTGAGTTATTGGTTTATGGACTTAACAATCATTGTATACATATTTTATTAAGTCTATAAAATTATTTCATAGAGTTTCAAAACATTGTTTATGTCAAAACATCAAATTTCATGTGTATCATATTTTCATGTTTTGGACATACTTGCAAAATACATGAGTTTTCATAAATAGGAAATTCAATTTGAGAAATTATTTTTCTAACATGTTCAATATCATGTTTATAAACATTTTCTAAAGTTTCATCAATTTTGGAGTTGATTTACCGTGTCAAATTGATTTTACAAAATCAGGTGTTTCAGCAGTTTTTAGAATCTAAAATATCTATGTTTAAATATTTATTTCTCTCAACTGGGAAGTGATATTTCGGAAATTATTTCTCTAAAATATTCATATACATGTCTAGAACCGTCCCTCAAAGTTTCATGAGTTTTTGAGTTGATTTACTATTTTTAATTGATTTTACAAAGCCAGATACGTAAATTTCCAGAATGCTGAATTTAGGGGTATTTTGGTCTTTTCAACCTGTAACGGCTAGTTTTTGATATTTTCGGTTTTTGGGAGTTTGTGGCTGGTTTAAGAGGCTATAAAAAGCCCTCAACTTTCATTGTTTCTTATGGATGTTTAAGAGAGTTTTAAAAAGAGTTTTACAAGTTTGTTTAAGGGTTTTTAAGTTTGTTTCAAGAGTTTGTTTATGAAGAAACTTTCACAAGAGCTTGAGGTGATCATTCTTTGGTGTTTGGGCATTCAACTCTTCTCCCTCTCTCTCTTGTTATCTTTAGAGAAGTGTTTCTAAACCCAATCTAGCTTTACATTTATATATAATTGTTTGATTATCATTTTATTAAACTAGAATTTATTTGAGTTTAGTTTGATTTGATTTACTCTTTGTTTACACACACAACCATTGAGCTTATTGTATTTGCATACATTATATAATTAGGTTGTGGGATTGTGTGACATTGAGTGTGAGCCTACATTGTGTTCTCATCTATTGTAGAGAACAAATTTATATTTGTGTGCTTAAATTGTATAGTTCACTTTGTAATACACTTGTACACCGAGAGGAGTGTGTGGTGAGGACGGAGTTGATACCGAGAGGAGTAGCGTCTGTGGCCTAGTGAGAGGTGATAATTCCGAACACTTGAGGGAGTTGATACGTGAGGACCAATACTTGAGGTTGTAGCTTGTGTATGTACATTGTGAGGATTTGTGAGAGTTGTCGGTTGACTTGATAACCGAGTGTGTAGAGTTTTCGGTTAGCTAGAAAACCGAGTGTGTAGAGAAGTTCCGGCTTTCAAACCGGGTTGTGATAGTGGATTTCTCCCCGGGAGTGGGGAGCGGAGACGTAGAACGGAATGTCCGAACTCCATGATCATTTCGTGTGTTTAAGTTTGCTTTGACGCACTTACTCTTATGTTTATATTTCTTGTCGCCATTGTCCATTGCTCACTATTTATATCATCCACTATCTTGTTTATTTTGTTTACCCTTGTGTATATCACTCATCCTAGCTCACATATCTTGTTGTATTTTATTCTTGCTAGGATAACTTGTTAATTAGTTTTAGTTGGCATATAATCGGATTAGATTAGCATAAGACCCTAATCACCCCCCTCTAGGTTCTAACAATTAGGCGCGTCGTCAAGAGACCCATGTCTCCCTGCGATTTTTAGTAGGCCAAGTTTAGACCTTCCATTCTTTCTTGAAGTTTAATAAACCAATCGAAAACTATATATATTATTTTGTCTCTGGAACTCAAGTAGAATTATACGCTGCAAATGCTTTTCTTCTTTGCGTGTAGTTGATTCATTTTTTTTGAAGCATCATTCAAAATGTAGCGTAACTACTTAGAAGCGGGAAAAAAGCTGGCATTTATATAAGTTTACCTTATTTTGGAACCGAGATGTATCGTTTCCACCACCAAACAAATTTCCTCTAGCCCCTCAGTCCTCCTCTGTTCTTGGAACCAAATCCTCGGCTTCCGCTTCCTCCTATTCCTCCTCGACATTCCTGGCTCCTGACCCACTCCCTTGAAATACCCAACATACAGAGGACGCGTTGTCTCTGACAGAAAACAGGACAATTCAATTCCAACATTTTCTCTCATGTGAAAATTTGTACATTTTAAATAACTTTTTTATGTAAAAAAAATCTACGTACCTGGTTCACTCTGATCATTATGTCCAGGTTCAGCGCGCAGTGGCCTCGTGATCGAGGGAGTAGGACTCATAGCCCATCTTTCAAGATAGATGTTCCACGAACTTTCTGAAAGGACTTTACTACAACCACATGACATATAACAAGGGAAATTTCAAGCTCAAAATGCAGGAGACGTGATTGCAGTTTGCAGGTTTATTATTCTACTATTCTTATTATCAGCTCTCAGATGCCAATACTCATGGAAGCTAGTTATAACAAATGTCAGCAATAGAGTAGTTCTTGTTTCCTTTCTATGTTACATACTAGAGTCCCGCATAAGAACCTAGAAACCTTTCTTTTTATAGCCAATCCAGGACAAACTCGACGCTTATAGATGATTATGAAGTACCATAGAATCTATTAATGATCAAACGTAACACAGGCTTGTATCACTTGTGTCATCCGAAACAAGAATTCTATTTCACTTTGCAAAGTTCATGAAGCAATATTTGAGCTAATGTATAAATAACTTTAACTACAGAGCAGTATAAACAATAACTGAAAACACTTTCTACTATGCCATCATAGATGCATTGAACCAAGAGTCAACATAAAACCAAAACTACAACACCCACTCAAGCATTCTGTCAAACAATTCATGGGCATCCAAAATCCCTCATACCAAATAAACCCATCTCAAAAACTGCATTCCTGTAGCTATATTTAGGTCTAACTTGCTAATTTGATGTATAAGTAGCTATATTTGGATTCAAGTTGCTAATTTTGTCTAAGTTGATATAAAGTTAAGCATTTTGGAAAACAAATCATAGGCATAAAAAAATCCCCAAACCAAACAGACCCATCTCAAATCTCACATACCTCAACCGAATGAACAGTTCCATAAGGCTTGAAGAGATCCGAAAGCCTGGGGAGATTACAGACATAGAGCTCGCAGGGCTTCGCCAACTCCTTCTTATATCCCTCTTCAGGGGTCAACGCCTTCTCTTGCTCTACAACTGCTGAATCTCTGAATGCAGTTCTTTTGGGGGGAGAGAGGGTGAAGAGACGGGAGAAGGAGAAGGGAGAGTGCAAGGATAACGAAGATGGGGGCGGTGTGGTGGTCCTGTGGAGCAACGATAGGTTTGGGGAGAAAGAAGTTGACAGAGGTGAGATTAGGGCAGCCATGGAGGAACAGGAGAAGGGATAAGAGAGGCGGTGGAGGGAGGAGTAGGAGTTGAGGATTTGGGGGGGTGGGGTGGCGCTGAAAATTTCGATTTGGGGGGAAAAGAAGGGCGACTGAGGTTTTGACGGGTTAAATTTTTTTTTTTTAATTTCCACGTATCCTGGACGGAAATTTCTGTCTAGGATACATTCTAGACGGAAATTTCCGTCTAGAATATGTGAAAATTTTAAAAGAAATAAAAAAAATAACTGTCTAGGATACTATTCTAGACGAAAATTTCCGTCTAGAATGTTTTATCCTAGACGGAATATTCTAGACGAAAATTTTTCATCTAGTTTAATACATTCTAGACGGAAAAAATTCCGTCTAAGATATTCCGTCTAGGATGCATAGATTACTACTAGTGAGAGAAAGAAACTATATTCTGAAGGCTAATTTATTTGGTGAAGTTGCAAAAACTAATTTTATTGAGGAAGAGTTCTTTATGAAACACACACACAATGATGACATTGGCTAACAAATATTGCAGGTTAAACTTATAGGATGTTCGGGACAACTTATTTTTTTGGTCAAACTAGCATTTAAGCTACCTTTTTTATTTCTATTTATTTGGTAAGATACTCAAATAAGCTAGCTTATAAGTTATATTTTAAAAAGCTAATATATCATGCTTTTTAAAAAACTAACTTATAAGCTTACCTAAATAAGCTAGGTTTGACCAAACAATTACTATACTACTCAAACAATTAATATAGTATTTTTATCATAAAAGTAAAAGTCAGGCTTAACTTATAGGCTTAAAAAATAAGCCTTCCCAAACATCCTCTTAATTAAACTATAACATATCGATCAAAATATAGTCGTGTTGGGATTGAACACACAAACGACAACCTGTGCCCTTCCGGATCTTGTGTCAAGAGTAGGCAACCAAGAAATCATATCAAATAAAAAAAACTTGCAGGAAAGAACGAACAAAAGAAGAAAACACCAGATTTGACGAGGTTCGACAAACCTGCCTACGTCCTCGGGAGCCACACTAGAAATTCTTTGATTAATTGAAGAAGATTATAATGTTCATAATAGGTCACTCTCTCTCTAAGATCTTTGATTTCAAAGTGCCACTAAAACCCTCTCAAAGACGTCCTCACATAACCCTAAAACGTTTTAGAAAACATATATATACACAACCTAAAAACAAATTTCAACCCGAATCAGGAAACCGTCAGACCCGACTTTAGTCAACCGATAGCATTGTATCGATCGACTAGTTGATCGCCATGTTTGTGTTAGGTCTCATGTTTATGAGCCTACGGTCTCATCTTGTTTTGATGATTTAAAAACAATTCCTAACATCGTTTGTCTAGTGTTTGTATTTGTTTATTAAGTATTCTAGACAAACATTAATGTTGGAGGTTAGATGGACTTGCACCTACATGATCATATCCATTGGAGGATGGAAGAAATATCGGAATGAAGCTTTGCATTTTAAGTCAAGTACAAGTTCTAACTTCATCCGCAACCAAGATGAGCATATCAAAGATCTCTTAGCTTGGGTATATTGTTTCTAGTTTAGATCTTATACTTTATGTGTTTATGCTTAAAGCTCAAATATTACACACATACACGTTTTCGGTTTATCGCTTTTAAGTTAAATCAATTAAATATGAGACAAATAGTTACATTTACAAACATACATGCTAGTTTTATATTTATCATCTTTATTTGGAAAGAAATGTGTTTATGGTTAAAGACTTGTTTACACTATTTTATATCTTTTCTCAAGTCTATTAATCTATTAAAATTTTTTTAAAACTTGCTTGGAAGAAATTCGTCAAAAACAAGTTTTAACGTTTTTGTATTTTTGAACGATTTGAAAAATATATGAGTTTTCACAAATGGAAAATGCAATTTGAAAGTTTTCTTTTATAACATGTTCATTATTACGTTTATAAATATTTCCCCAAGTTTTACAATTTTTGAAACTTATTTGATATTTTTGAAAGTTGATTCAAATTTAGTTTTTCAATAGTTATTATCATATATCAGTTTTTGATCGACCGCATAAGGCATGTCGGTCGACCGACCAGGACGATATTTTTTAGTTTTGCTTCTCAGGGTATTTTGGTCGACCAATTATGTCCTTCCGGTCGACTGACCAGAACTCAAGTTTGTAGGTATCTAAAAATGCCTATAGGTTCCCGTATGCAGCTCGAGACAGAGAGAAGACGATGAACGTCATTTTTTGAATCAAAGAAGATTATCTGACACCGATAAGCGCATGAAGAAAATTGGTGAACCGTTAATGACATAGCAATAAGCTACCGAAATAGCCATTGGTCATTAAATTAGCAAAACGACTGGCCTGTGCACTCACCGGGAACCTCCAATAGGCACGCACACTCATCAGTCAGATCTAAGTGGCCTGCACACTCATCGACTACTAGAATGGTGAATCAATCATCCCGCGTGCTCACCGGCCACCTCTAATTGGCCCACGTACTCATCAGTCAGCTCCAAGTGGCACGCACGCTCATCGGCCACCAAAATGGCGAATCAAGCGTCCCGTGCGCTCACCGGCTAGCTCCAAGTGGCCAAAACGTTCACCGATCACCTCCAACTTAATGAAATGTATGATGTGAATCAGTGAAGCGTACGAGTCAACGTGACACACGAAATGGCAAAACAACTCAGCTAGGAGTTGTGTTTCACCCAACAGGGGTGAAACATCATGTGTGACTCGCACACACCATGTATAGCTTGGCTATTGTAAGTTGTAGGTTTCTTCTCCATCTTTCCAACGCATTTTGAATCACCTCATTCCGACATCGGACGAGAGAGTTAGAGCCAAAATACCCGAGATGGTACGAACTGGCTTGCAAGGCTGCGAGCCACCATTTGGTGGCTCACACGCAAGGCTGCGAGCCACCATTTGGTGGCTCACACAAAGAGGTGAAATTAAGACCATGAGTGGCTCATCCATTAGAAGTTGTAGGTCTCTTCACCATCTTTCCAACGCATCTTTAATCACCTCATTCCGAGATCGGACGAGAGAGTTGGAGCCAAAATACCAGAGATGGTACGAACTGGCTTGCAAGGCTGCGAGCCACCATTTGGTGGCTCACACAAAGAACTAATATTTCAACCATGATGTCATTTTATTCTAGAGAAACTCAAAAGACAAAGGTTATAGTTATCTTTGTCATCTTTCTAACATATCTTGAATCACTTTATTCCGAGATCGGACGAGAGAGTTAGAGCTAAAATACCCTAGGTGGTATGAACTGGCTCGGCCAAAGCCAAGCCACCAAGTGGTGGTTCACACCGGTTCGCAGCTGGTTCGGTTCGGTTCGCACCCGGTTCAGTTTGATTGAACCCAGTTCGGCAGATTTTGTCTGAAAACACGGTTTGATAGTTTTTGATGGGTTTTCAAGAGATTTCTTCTATTTCAGAGGTTCCCAACTGCCTTGATATCATCTCTATACATGGTTAGGCGGTTGTCAACTGAGGATAAGACCAAATTCATCGTTCTTATCAGAAAACCCCCAACCGAAGCCTATAAATACCGGCCTAGGGGCTCATTTCACAGGGGTACATCAAGAGGGTAAGGTGTTGTCAAAATTGAGAGTGAAGCCACGAATTCAAAGGGTTAGCAGATCTTGGCGAAGTTTCTCCATAAACAAAAAGAGAGTTCGAGAGTTCTGAAACCCCTTTTCCCTATATTCCTCCAGATTTAAGCTTGGTCTTAAATCCCAAAAAGAGTTGTAATCTCGCTTGGTCAGGATTACCACTTTAGCGAATACTTCCTTCGTGAAGTAGGAGCTTTGATTTTCAATCTGTCAACCGGATCTGATCCGTGGCGGTCTACGGATGTCAACGTCCCTGGAACAGGCAAAGATTCTACGCAAACAACAGGTGATAAACATCTGTTGTGTGTTGTTTGAAGGAATTATAATCTTATATTTTCATTGTGTAAGAAGATCTTATTTGTGTGTTGTTTGAAGGAATTATAATCTTATATTTTCATTGTGTAAGAAGATCTTATAAAAAGATCGACTTTTTATTTATTTGAGTTTATTATCATTGTGTAAGAAGATCTTATAAAAAGATCGACTTTTTATTTATTTGAGTTTATTATAACGGCTAAAGGTGTAATAGATTCGATGACAATGAAAACAGCAATTTCTGACCCAAACACACTAGCAACCATAGTGAGAACAAATAGCTTCGCTGCCGAAGCTATCGTGTCACAACCATGGATCCGGATCCTGATTGACGAGAAGGTCGAGTACAAGTTCGACCAACTGAAGTTCCAGGAGTATCTGTCGTCGTCCTCCTCCAGATCCTCCGCCCCTCGCAAGCGCAGGAAGATCAAGGTCCTCGTTACTGCTGCCATCTCGCCTTGCAACGTCCCTCCGGCCTCTAACGAAGCCGGATCTGCAGCTCTAAACTCCTCTTTAATCAAGGAGATAGCCGCTGGTGGCACGCCCACTTTATCAAAGAGATCTCGCCAAAGGCAGCGCCAATGCCTCGTGTGCTGACTCGCCAAGGCTTTAGAGCCTGTTGACGGGATCTACTATGAGGTGGATCTTAAACTCAGAAGGAACCGAGTGCCCCAGCGGCAAACATATGTCCTCTCCTCCAAACCAATAGCGAATGAATGAATCCAAGTCAAACTGGCCCGCTCAACCCTCAAGGAGCGCATTCAGAAGCGTTGCGTCTTGATTGCGCATGCATGGATTCTCATGCAAGAAGCGTAGAAGCTGAGGCAAAAAGAGGTGATCAAGAAGCCACCGAAACCACGCC